AAGGTGGCAGTTATGCATTGCAGAGGACACCAGCGAGCTTCCACCTTGTTGGGTTTGAGGAATTCGTGCGCCGACTGGGAGACTCGAAGAGCAGCATCTGCCCCTTTCCAGGCATCAGTCACAGCCCCCCTCTTCCGTCAAGCACCTGATCTTGTACCTACTTACTCTAAAGAAGAAAAGAACTTTCTCCAGGCAGAAAGAGAACAGATGATGAAGGAAGAATGGATTCGGTTACCAGATAGAAAAGTAGCTGTGCCACAGCTCCTGGGAGCTGCAGCTGTACTGGCTGTGCATGAAATCACCCATCTAGGTCAGAAGTCACTTGAAAAGTTGTTAGGCCGGTATTTCTACATTTGCATTTGTCAGCCCTTGCCAAAACGGTGACACAGCAGTGTGTTACCTGCCGACAGCATAATGCGAGGCAAGGTCCAGCCGTGCCGCCCGGCATACAAGCTTATGGAGCAGCCCCCCTTGAAGATCTCCAGGTAGACTTGACAGAGACGCCAAAGTGTGGAGGTAACAAGTATTTACTAGTTCTTATGTGTACCTACTCTGGGTGGGTGGAGGCTTATCCAACATGAACTGAGAAAGGTCGTGAAGTAACCCGTGTGCTTCTTCAAGATCTTATTCCTAGATTTGGACTGCCCTTATGGATCGGCTCAGATAACCAGCCAAAGTTTGTGGCTGACTTGCTACAGAAGACGGCAATGGTATTGAGGATCACATGGACACTGAATGCCGCCTACCGGACTCAGAGTTCCAGAAAGGTGGAGCGGATGAATCGGACTATCAAAAATAGTTGAGGGAAAGTATGTCAGGAAACAGGATTAAAATGGATACAGGCTCTCCCTATGGTATTATTTAAAATTAGATGTACCCCTGCTAAAAGAACAGGATATTCCCCTTATGAAATATTATATCATAGGCCCCCTCCCATATTACAGGGACTTCCAGGCACTCCCCAAGAGTTAGGTGAAATTGACTTACAGTGACAGCCACAGGCTTTAGGAAAAATTACACAAACAATCTCAGCCTAGGTAAATGAGAGATGCCCTGTTAGCTTATTCTCCCCAGTTCACCCTTTCTCCCCAGATGATCGAGTGTGGATCAAGGACCGGAACGTAGCCTCTTTGTGCCCACAGTGGAAAGGACCCTAGACAGTTGTCCTGACCAGTCCCACCGCTGTGAAGGTAGAGGGAATCCCAGCCTGGATCCACCACAGCTGTGTAAAACCTACAGCGCCTGAAACCTGGGAGGCAAGACCAAACCCGGACAACCCTTGCAGAGTGACCCTGAAGAAGATGACAAGCCCGGCTCCAGTCACGCCCGGAAGCTGACTGGTCCATGCACCTCCAAAGCATGAGAAAGCTCATTGTGAAATTCATTTGTCTTACATTTTGGACTTATACAGTAAGGGCTTCAGCTGACCTTAAACTAAGGACTGTTCCCAGTGTATTCATGAGGTCACTGAGGTAAGACAGCAAATTAAAACAATATTTCTGTTCTATAGTTATTATGAATGTATACGAATGTTAAAAGAAACTTGTTTGTATAATGGCACTCAGTACAAGGTATGTAGCCCAGGAAATGACCAACCTGATGTGCGTTATAACCCATCTGAGCCCCCTGCAACCACCGTTTTTGAAATAAGATTAAGAACTGGCCTTTTCCTCGGTGATACAAGTAAAACAATAACTAGAACAGAAGAAAAAGGAATCCCCAAACGAGTAACTTTAAGATCTGATGCTTGTGCAGCCATTAATAGTAACAAGCTAGGAACAGGATGTGGTTCTCTTAACTGGGAAAGGAGCCACAGAGTAGAAAATAAATATGTTTGTCATGAGTCAGAGGTTTGTGAAAATTGTGCCTTTTGGCCATGTGTTATTTAGGCTACTTAGAAAAAGAACAAAAAGGACCCAGTTCATCTTCAGAAAGGGGAAGCCAACCCCTCCTGTGCCGCCGGTCACTGTAACCCACTGGAACTCATAATCACCCATCCCCTAGATCCCCACCAACCCCTCCTGTGCTGCCGGTCACTGTAACCCACTAGAACTAATAATTACCCATCCCCTAGATCCCTGTTAGAAAAAGGGAGAACATGTAACCCTAGGGATCCATAAGACAGGGTTAAACCCCCAAGTTGCCATTTTAGTCCGAAGGGAGGTCTACAAGTGCTCTCCCAAACCAGTGTTTCAAACCTTTTATGATGAGCTGAATCTGCCAGCCCCAGAACTTCCGAAAAAGACAAAAAATTTGTTTCTTCAATTAGCAGAAAGTGTAGCTCATTCCCTTAATGTTACTTCCTGTTATGTATGTGGGGGAACCACTATTGGAGATCGATGGCCTCAGGAAACCTGAGAGTTGGTGCCCACGGATCCAGCTCCTGATATAATTCCAGTTCAGAAGGCCTAAGCTAGCAACTTCTGGGTCCTAAAAACCTCAATTATTGGACAATACTGTATAGCTAGAGAAGGAAAAGACTTCATCATCCCTGTAAGAAAGCTTAATTGTATAGGACAGAAGTTGTACAAACACCACAACAAAGACAATTACTTAATGGGGCCTAAACCACACTGAAAAGAACCCATTTAGTAAATTTTCTAAATTAAAAACTGCCTGGGCTCATCCAGAATCTCATCAGGACTGGACGGCTCCCGCTGGACTATACTGGATATGTAGGCACAGAGCCTACATTCGGTTACCTAATAAATAGGCAAGTAGTGGTGTTATTGGCACCATTAAGTCGTCCTTTTTCTTATTACCTATAAAAATGGGTGAGCATCTAGGTTTCTCTGTCTATGCCTCCCGAAAAAAGAGAAGCACAGTTATAGAAAACTGAAAAGATGAGTGGCCCCCTGAAAAGTATCCTACAGTATTATGGGTCTGCCACATGGGCACAAGATGGCTCATAGGGATACCGAACCCCCATCTACATGCTCAGTAGGATCATACGGTTGCAGGCCTTCTTAGAAATAATTACTAATGAAACTGGCAGAGCTTTGACTGTTTTAGCTTGGCAGGAAACCCAAATGAGGAATGCTATCTATCAGAATAGACTGGCCTTAGACTACTTGCTAGCAGCTAAAGGAGTCTGTGGAAAATTTAACTTAACCAATTGCTGCCTACAAATAGATGACCAAGGACAGGTGGTTGAAAACATAGTCAGGGACATGACAAAGTTGGCACGTGTGCCTATACAGGTTTGGCACGAATTTGATCCTAGGTCTTTATTTAGAAAATAGTTTCCAGCTATAAGAAGATTTAAAACCCTCATTGTAAGTGTATTGCTACTAATAGGAACTTGCTTACTGCTCCCCTGTGTATTACCCTTACTTTTTCAAATGATAAATATGTTTTGTTGCTACCTTAGTTCATAGAAAACTTCAGCACACGTGTATTATATGCATCACGATCAGTCTATCTCGCAGAAAGACTCTAAAAGTAAAGATAAAAGTGACAACTCCCACTAAAAAGTGAAAATGCTCAAAAGGGGGACATACGAAACGAGACCATCACTTATCCTGTTGTCCCTCCCAGCTTCTCCCCTACCTCCCCTTTCCTTGTTTATAATATAGACAGGAAAAAAAGGAGAAAGCAAAAAGTTGAAAAGAAACAGAAGTAGGCCGGGCGCGGTGGCTCAAGCCTGTAATCCCAGCACTTTGGGAGGCCGAGGCGGTCGGATCACAAGGTCAGGAGATCGAGACCACGGTGAAACCCCGTCTCTACTAAAAATACAAAAAATTAGCCGGGCGCGGTTGTGGGCGCCTGTAGTCCCAGCTACTCGGGAGGCTGAGGCAGGAGAATGGCGGGAACCCGGGAGGCGGAGCTTGCAGTGAGCCGAGATCGCGCCACTGCACTCCAGCCTGGGCGACAGAGCGAGACTCCGTCTCAAAAAAAAAAAAAAAAAAAAAAAAAAAAAGAAACAGAAGTAAAATAAATAGCTAGAAGACCTTGGTGCCAGCCCCGGCCCTAGTGGTTAAAATAATAATAATAATAATAATAATAATAATAATATTAACCTCTGACCAAAACTACTTGTGTTATCTGTAAATTCTAGACATTGTATGAGAAAGCACTGTAAAACTTTTTGTTCTGTTAGCTGATGCATGTAGCCCCCAGTCACGTTCCTCACGCTTGCTTGATCTATTATGACCCTTTCACATAGACCCCTTAGAGTTGTAAGCCCTTAAAAGGGCTAGGAATTTCTTCTTCGGGGAGCTCGGCTCTTTAAGACACGAGTCTGCGGACGCTCCTGGCCTAATAAAAAACTCTTCCTTCTTTAATCCGATGTCTGAGTTTTATCTGCGGCTGGTCCTGCTACAACGTGTCACCTGGAGAAAGGGTTTATGAAGGTAGTAGTTTACTTAGGTTAGAAGCTTAAACTGACCCCAGGTAAGAACTTCTGGTGAAAATGAAGTCTGGGAGGAGGAAGCGGTTCCAAGTTGGGGGGGGGGGGGGGGACGGGGGAGTATAAGGAAGTCTTATCGCCAGTTCCCGCCGTAGAGGACAGCTGCCTCTCCCTCTTGGTGAAGTCTTGCCTGGCCTGGCCTGGGTTTCCTTCCTGCTCTGAGGTAAAGGAATGACTCCATTGAACACTGAGTCTGGAATTCCCTGCACAGATTTCTGACAGATCGAGGAAGCTAACAGTGCCCCTTCTAACAATAAGCAGCAAGTTTGGCTGAAATGCAGATATCCTATGACCAGGGCGCAGGGAGTGAGCTGAGCCTTAAGAAGGCTGTAGCTAGGACCAATCAGCCGGGCTCTTCAGGGCTCCGTTACCTAGGGCTTCCCCTGTCATTCAGCGCCGGGGGGCGGAGCCTGAGACCCCATCCAATCAGGGGCCCTCGGGCGGGGCCCTGCCAACTCTGTCAATCCGGGTAAGGAGGAGGCGGCACTGGGAGTCTCAGTACTCCTTTGCTGCTGGGGTCCGTTGCGCTCCGCATCCAGTTCTGGGTGCACCGAGAGGCCCCAGGTGCCTCCGTCACGGCTCCTGTGACGCTGTCACCTGCGCTGTGACCTGCTCCGCAGTCATAAAGAGGACGCCGGGACACTCAGAATCAGGGAAATGGTAAATGTGTCCGGCCTGGCGTCCAGATACGTGGAAGAGGGGCTGGTTGGAACTAACAGGCCTCCGCTCTGGCGACCCTGGCGATTGGGACCCACGTCCCCCATGGCGTGGCTCGGCCCTCGGTCCCCTCGGCCGCTGGGTGGGGTTGGGCCCGCAGCTGGGACCCCGGGCGTCCTGTCCCGTCCCTGCGCGGCGACTGCGGCCCCGGCCCTAGAGCCCTCTCTGGGCAGCTCCGCGCCGGCAGCCCGGCGTCTCCCAAGATTGTGCGGGGACCACGGGAGGGTCATGACGGGGAATCCCGACTCGTATGTGTCCAGCCTTTCTTCTGTTAAAAATTAAACCGAGGCTCTGTTAACAGTTAAAGAGTTCGTTGGAGCACACAGCGATTCCTGAGTGAAAAACACTTGGTCATGGCTTGTGACTGAAGAAAAGGCTTTTATAAGTTGCATGAGGAGACAAACCGGATTAAATACTTGATTAGTTACAGTGATGCTGTCGCCTTATGTGGACCTGAAATAAAAGGATCAGATTCCAGTTTTTTAAAGTTTACTCAAGCGAGAAGCTGGGAATGGCCCATTTGGGAAAACACAGGATCCACGGAAATGGGCTCAGTGCTTCAAATTTAAAAGTTTAAGTTCTTGCTTATGTAGGCAAAAGGCCAAGAAATTTAACAGGATTACAACGTTTTTTATACAAGGCTAGTTTGTGAGGCACAACAATTTAATTAGTTACAGTTTGGTCCGCCCCGCCCCTCATAGAGCTTCGCGTTTTTTGTTTTATTCTTTGTTTCTTTCTTTTTCTTTTTTTCTTTACAGCTGGGTAAAGCTGTGAAGAAAAGTCTTTTCTTTTATAATTTAAAAGAGTATATTTAACATTCCAGCCTAAGGCAAGGTGATACCAGCCTGGACAACACGGCGAGATCCCGACTGTACAAAAAATTTTAAAAATAGTCGGGTATGGCCGGGAGCAGTCGCTCACGCCTGTAATCCCAGTACTTTGGGAGGCCGAGGCGGGCCGATCACGAGGTCAGGAGTTCGAGACCATCCTGGCCAGCATAGTGAAACTGCTTCTCTACTAAAATTACAAAATTTAGTTGGGTGTGGTGGCACAAGACTGTAGTCCCAGCTACTCGGGAGGCTGAGGCAGGAGAGTTGCTTGAACGCGGAAGGTGAAGGTTGCAGTGAGCCGAGATGGTGCCACTGCAGTCCAGCCTGGCAACAGAGCGAGACTCCGTCTCAAAAAAATAAATAAATAAATAAATAAATAAATAATTAGGTATAATGGCCGTGCCCTAGTCCCAGCTAGTCTGGAGGCTGAGGCAGGAGAATTGCTTGAGCTCAGGAGATGAAGGCTACATCAATGACAGTATTGAATTTACAGCTAATGGACAAGGTGAGGGAGAGGATGGAAGTTGGGTTAGTGTCAAGAATTAGGGAAGAGATTGTCAAATGTAGGGGAAAAGGGACTTGATTGGATATCAGGTTTGGAGGAATTTTCTCTCAACTCCCTTAGAAGGGTTTTTGCTACCACAGGGCTCTGCAGGAAAAGGCCAAAGCCTAGTCAAGAGGAAGGGGGCTCTGAGGAGCCTGATTCTAGTCTAATCAAGAGGGAGTTTTTCAGACCCCTTCCTCAGCCTTCACTGCAACCTCAGCTCCTGGGTTCAAGCCATTCTCCTGCCCAGCCTCCCAAGTAGATGGGATTACAGGCATATGCCACCATGTCAGCTAATTTTAATATTTTTAGTAGAGACAGGGGAAGGAAAACATTTTTTTAAAAAAATTTAGTGCAGGCACAGTGACTCACTCCTATAATCCAGCACTTTGGGAGGCCCAGGTGGGAGGATTGCTTGAGCCAAGAAGCTCAAGACCAGAGTGGGCAGGGCAGCATATGAGACCTCATCTCTACTGAAAAAAAACAAACAAACAAAATAGCTGGGCATGGTGGCACATTCCTGTAGTCCCAGCTACTAAGTGAGACTAGGGGAGGATGCCTGAGCCCCGAAGATCCGAGGCCGCAGTGAGCCACGAGGGCACCACTGCACTCAGCCTGGGGAGACAGGGTGAAACCTTGTCTCAAAAAAACGAAAAACTTTAGGGCTTGGGTGTGCAGGCCTTACATCTGTAATCCCAGCATTTTGGAAGGCCGAAGTGGGAGGATCACTTGAGTCCGGAGTTTTAAGACAAGCCCAGCAACATAGAGAGACCTCATCTCTATGAAATAAATAAATAGGCCAGGCGCGGTGGCTCACGCCTCTAATCCCAGCACTTTGGGAGGCGAGGTGGGCGGATCACGAGGTCAGGGATCGAGACCATCCTGGCTAACACGTGAAACCTGTCTCTACTAAAAATACAAAAAATTAGCCAGGTGTGGTGGCGGCACCTGTAAGTTCCAGCTACTTGGGAGGCCTTGAGGCCAGAGAAGGGCGTGAACCTGGGAGCGGAGCTTGCAGTGAGCGAGATCGTGCCCACTGCACTCCACCTGGGCGGACAGACGAGACTCCGCTCCAAACAATAAATAAATAAAAATAAAAATTAAAAGAAAAAATTATATTTTGTTTATAATATTTTATAAAGAGGACAACTAATTTCAGTAACTACCCACAAAACTACATTGGGTAAAACCCCATGCCATGATCTTGGACATGATCTTTGTCAATGTGCTTGTTGGCCACTTTGTATAAGTCTGGGGAAAATGTCATTAAAATCTATTGCCCTGGCCAGGGCAGTGGCTCATGCCTGTAATCTCAGCACTTTGGGAGGCTGAGGTGGGTGATCATCGAGGCAGGGATTCGAGACCCAGCCCTGGCCAACCATAGTGAAACCCTGTCTCCTAACTAAAAGTACAAAAATTAGCTGGGCGTGGGTGGTCGTGCCTATAGTCCCCAGCTACTGGAGGCTGACAGGAGAAGTGCTTGAACTGGGAGGCGGAGGTTGCGTGAGCCGAGATTCGTGCGGTTGCCCTTATTTTAGTCAATTAGTTTTTTGGTTTGGTACAATAGTTTTTCTAGTTAATTACAATAAGAAAAACCTTAAAAATTTTACTAGCTCAAGCATTTTAAGTGTACCATTGAGTGAGTTTGACAATTTTATATAACTTCTCTAAGAAGAGTCATACTGCATTTTTCTTTTTCTGACTGGTCTTTTGCAGTTAGCATAGTATCATGAAGTTTCATGCCTGTTGTCGTATGGGACAGAATGTCATTTTATAAGAATAAATAATATCCCATTGTGTATATATAATAAATTTTCAGGGCGGGCGCGGGTGGCTCAAGCCTGTAATCCCAGCACTTTGGGAGGCCGAGGCGGGTGGGATCACGAGGTCAGGAGATCGAGACCATCCTGGCTAACATGGTGAAACCCCGTCTCTACTAAAAATACAAAAAACTAGCGGGGCGTGGGTGGCGGGCGCCTGTAGTCCCAGCTACTCGGAGGCTGAGGCAGGAAATGGCCTGAACCTGGGAGGCGGAGCTTGCAGTGAGCCGAGATCCGCCACTGCACTCCAGTCTGGGTGACACAGCGCGAGACTCCGTCTCAAAAAAAAAAAAATAATAAATAAATAAATAAATTTTCATTATCCATTCATCCACTGATTGGATTTAGGTTGATCTACCTGTTGGCTGTTGTGAACAATGGGATTTCAATTTATTTTATTTTTTATAGAGATCGGATCTCGCTCTGTTGCCTAGGCTGGTCTCAAACTCCTGGGTCAATTGATCTTCCTGCCTCAGCCTCCTAAAAGTGTTGGGGTTACAGGCATCAGCCACTGTACCAGCTGTTAATGATTTTCAAATATTTCTTTGAGATCCTACTTTCAATTCTTTTGAACTGAAAATATAATTCAACCCAAAAGTGGGTTGCTGGAACATTGTAATTTTGTTTTTTAATTTTTGAGGTACTGCCATAACTGTTTTTCATAGCTAAGCCATTTTACAATCCTTTGGACAGTGTACATAGGTTCCGGTTTGCCAGCATCCTCATCAAAGCTTTCCATTTGGCGCGTTTGATGTGTTTTTTTATGTTGAATTATGGAAGTTCTTTTTTTTTTTTTTTTTTGAGACGAGTCTCGCTCTGTCGCCCAGGCTGGATGCAGTGGCCAGATCTCAGCTCACTGCAAGCTCCCGCCTCCCGGGTTTACGCCATTCTCCTGCCTCAGCCTCCCGAGTAGCTGGGACTACAGGCGCCCGCCACCTCGCCCGGCTAGTTTTTTGTATTTTTTAGTAGGAGACGGGGTTTCACCGCGGTTAGCCAGGATGGTCTTGATCTCCTGACCTCCGTGATCCGCCCGTCTCGGCCTCTCAAAGTGCTGGGATTACAGGCTTGAGCCACCGCGCCCCAGCCCCAGAATTCGTTATATTTGCTGAATATTAGCCATACCAAATATATGACTTACCATTATTTTTTCCAA